CCACGTGGCATGACCAAAAAATGAAAGATAAATTAAAAAATAAAGTAAAACTGCTATTGAGTTCAGTTTAGATGAAACAATATAAAAGTTTGAGGGAAAATTATAAAAGTCTTAAATTATTCTATACTTCAGATTGCTTCATAAAATTTTTAAATTTCTTCACTTCAGAGAAGTTTGAACTAAAAATCATAGGCAGGGTATATGGGTATATATAGTTTTTGCAAGAAATAGGAGGCTCCAATCAGCAAACCCACAATAAAAAAATAAAGATTGGCCTTGTATGGTCAAAGATTTGTGAATGAATACATATTTATTTTTTAAGTTAGAATAAGATGATTATGATATAGACAAATCATTTAAAAAATTCTCTCCTAATTTTTAGATTAACCAAACAACTATCAGTCCTCATTGTACTGGATAACAGGGCATCCATTACACTTCACAAATCATTTTTTAACTTAGGAAAGGCTAATCCTATGAAAGCTGTAGTCAATGGATGTCAAAATATGGATGTCTCAAGAGAAAGCTAACTTACCATTTTTAAAGTTTATGTTCTCTAAAATATTTGCAAAGTGTAATGGGTAATGGTGACAGCACCAGAAAGTTTGCATTCACTGCTCTGGGTTTAACCTTTATTCAGTTATGTTGAACTAAAAGGAAAAAAATATATTCTTGGAGAAAGAGTACTTAAAAAAATAGTCCTAGTGAGAAATTCTTTATTTAGAGCTTCTCTGAGTAATCCAGGCCATTCTTCTGCCTGGAGTAGTGAATCCAGTTCAGCTAAAATCAGGAAGTATTGAATAGCAATGTACTCTAAAGCAGGAGCAAGGGGGAAATTAGGGCATCTCTACAGAGTCAGAAGCAGCCTTGTCAGTTGAGATTAAATTTAGTCAAAAAGAGAAAAAAATTTTGATGTGTTGGAAAATGAAAACTCTGGTGAAGATTTTTAATACACCATGCTATCTACAGCATAATTTTTTAAACTTAGGCTTGTATCTGAATTAAATGGGAATGTTTCCTAAGTTTCTGTCTTAAGGGCAGGGTAATTGTTTAAGCCTCAGATGCTTTTTGTCTTATTTAGATGGGAACGGCTAGCATGCTGCTTAGTTTAAACATGCTGTTTAGCATGTTTAGTTCAAGTCTTCCATATCCTTAACTGACTTTTTGTCTACTTGTTCTGTTAATTACTGAGAAGAATGTTGATGTCTCTAATATAATTGTAAATTTATCAACTTCCCCCTTCAGTTCTATCAGTTTTGCTTCATATATTTTGAAGGTTTGTTATTTGGTACACACACATTTAGGATTGTTATTTCCTCTTGATGAATTGACCCCTTTTTCATTATGAAATATTAGTCTTTACCCCAAGTAATATTCCTGTTGTGAAGTCTTTTGTCTGATGTTAATAGGGCCACGCCAGCTTGCTTTTTTAAAAATTGAGGTATAATTGATATATAGCATTGTATTAGTTTCAGGTGTTTAACATAATGAACTGATCATCACAATAAGTCTAGTTAGCATCCCACTCCAGCTTTCTTATGATTAGCATTTAGATGGTATATGTTTTTTCATCCTTTTACCTTTAGCCTCTCTGTGTCTTTGTATTTTAAATGGGTTTAAAATTAATTTTTTGTAGACAGCTATAGTTATATCTTGCTCTTTTATTATCTGGTCTCATAATCTCGCCTTTTAATTGGAGAATCTAGATTATTTATGGTAATATAGGTATTAATGTGTTGGAATTTAAGGCTACTATTTGTTTTCATTTTTTCTTTGTTTTCTTTTTCCTCCTTTCTTCTTTTCTTTGTATTAATTGAGAAAAAAATTTTTTTTTTTTTTTTGCGGTACGCGGGCCTCTCACTGTTGTGGCCTCTCCCGTTGCGGAGCACAGGCTCCGGACGCGCAGGCTCAGCGGCCATGGCTCACGGGGTCAGCCGCTCCGCGGCACGTGGGATCCTCCCGGACCGGGGCACGAACCCGTGTCCCCTGCACCGGCAGGCAGACTCTCAACCACTGTGCCACCAGGGAAGCCCGAGAAAAAAATTTTTTTAATGCAGTTTATTTCCACTATTGGCATATTGGCTATATTGTGTGTGTGTGTTGTTTTTGTTTTTTTAGTAGTTACTTTAGGATTTGCAATATGCATTGTTACTACCATTTACCTTCAATTAATATTATACACCTTTATGTATGATGTTAGGACATTTTCCCCCTTCTGTCTCTTGTGTTATTGCTGCCATACATTTCACTTCTATATATACTCAAAACCCCACTATAAATTGTAATTAATTTTTTAAACAATTATCTTTTAAGTAATTTTAAAAATGAGGGAAAAAGTTATACTTTAGTTATATTACCAGTTCTGACACTTTCAATCTTTTGTGTAGATCCAGGTTTCTATCTGTTATAATTTTCCTTCAGCCTAAAGAACTTTCTTTAAATTTCTTGTAATAGAGTTCAGCTGGCAATGACTTTTCTCAGCTTTTGTTTGTCCAGAAAAGTCTTCATTTAGCCTCCATTTCTGAAAGATATTTTTGCTGAATACAAAATTATAAATTTGTGATTTGTATTTCTTTCAGTGCTTTAATCATGTAATTTCATTGTTTTTTTGGCTGTGCTGTCTCTAACAAGTAGCCTGTGATCATGTCTAGCTTTCCATGTCAGTATTTGATGTACCTTTTTCTTTGGCTGCTTTACAGTTTTTTTCTCTATAATTAGTTTTTAGCAATTTGGTTATATCTTGTGCTTTTGTTTATTCTGCTTATGATTTATTGAGCTTCCTGGACCTGTGAGTTTGTAGTTTTTATGAAATTTGGAAATTCTACAACTGTTATTTTTTTCAAGTTTTCTTACCATCCTCTTCTTTTTCTCCTTTCCACATGGGACTCCAATTATGTTATGTTAGTCCCAAGCTCGCTTAAGCTCCTTTTTTTTTAACCAGTTTATTTTTTCTCCCTACGTCTTATTTGGATAATTTGTATTGCTATATACACAGGTACACCAATCTTTTCTTCTTCAGTATCTAATCTTTTTAGTCCATTCATGAACTTTTTTTCATTTCAGATATTGCATATTTCATCTCTAAAAGTTTTGTCAGGTTTTTAAAAAGATCTCTTCATTATGTTACTTATTTAAAAATCCTTGAGTGTATCTATAATAAGATCTTATTTTATTTATTTACTTTTTATTTATTTATTTTGGGCTGTGTTGGGTCTTCGTTGCTGCACGTGGGCTTTCTCTAGTTGCAGGAGTGGGGGCTAGTCTTCTTTGTGGAGCACAGGCTTCTCATTGCAGTGGCTTCTCTTGCGGCAGAGCACCGGCTCTAGGCACGCAGGCTTCTGTAGTTGTGGCACATGAGCTCAGTAGTTGTGGCTTGCGGGCTGTAGAGCGCAGGCTCAGTAGTTGTGGTACACAGGCTTATTTGCTCCGTGGCATGTGGTATCTTACGGGCCAGGGCTCAAACCTGTGTCCCCTGCATTGGCAGGCAGATTCATAACCACAGTGCCACTAGTGAAGTCCCTATAATAGCATTTTTTTTTTTTTTTTGCGGTACGCAGGCCTCTCACTGTTGTGGCCTCTCCTGTTACGGAGCGCAGGCTCCAGATGCGCAGGCTCAGCGGCCATGGCTCATGGGCCCAGCCGCTCCGCGGCATGTGAGATCTTCCCGGACCGGGGCATGAACCCATGTCCCCTGCATTGGCAGGCGGACTCCCAACCACTGCGCCACCAGGGAAGCCCCCTATAATAGCATTTTTTTTCCTGTTTTATTTATTTATTTTTTATTGGAGTATAATTGCTTTACAATGGTGTGTTAGTTTCTGCTTCACAACAAAATGAATCAGTTATATATATATACATATGTTCCCATATCTCTTCCCGCTTGCGTCTCCCTCCCTCGCACCCTCCCTATCCCACTCCTCCAGGTGGTCACAAAGCACCAAGCTGATCTCCCTATATAATAGCATTTTTAACTGCTTTTTCTGCTAACTCCATCATTTCTTTCATTTCTGGGTCTATTTCTATTGACTGATTTTTCTCCTGATTATAGTTCATATTTTGCTACTTCTTCACATACCTGATCATTTTTTATTAGATTCGGAACATTATGAATAGTATGCTGTTGAGTGTTTGAATTTTGTCGTCTCTCTTTTAAAAGTGTTGAAGTTTGTTTTAGCAGGCAATTAAGTTATTGTGGATCATCTTCATCTTTTTGAGATTTGTTTTTAAACTTACGGTGGCTCTAGAGTAGCCTTTACTCTGAAGGGTGGATAGCTCTTCTACTGAAGTGTGACCCTTCTGGGACCTAGGAGCAGTATTCAGTCCTTGCCAGAAGGAACTTGATCTTCCTGCCCTGTATGAACAGGCTTATAGCTCCCTGACCTTTATTCTTTGCTGGGCTTCATGAAGTTTTACCCTATGTGTGCTCAGATTGTGTTCAGATGAAGGCTCAATGGGATCCCTCCTCTAATTTTTGGAGCTCTTTTTCTTAAGTTCCTCTTCTATTGTACTGTGCCCCGTAAATTCCAGCTGACTCATTTTCCCGAGCTCCCATATTTGTCTTCTCAACTCAGCAAGACAACTAGGCTCTGCTTCTGTTTACCTTCCCTGTGCCATGATCTAATTGTTTCTGGGAAGAAAAGTAATATGATTGTAGGGCTTGCCTCATTTGTTTTCTTTCTCTTAAGGATCAGAGTTCTGTACTGCCTTTTTTTTCAATGTCATATTTTATTCACTTTCCTACTTGTTAATGGAGGTGAGGCAAGTCCCATACTTGTTATCTTTCATGGGTGGAAGCAGAAACCCTAATTTTTTCTTAATATACTTTATTTTTAGAACACTTAAATTTACAGAAAAACTGAGTACAGAGAATTCCCATATGCCCCCACACCCAGCTCCCTTATTATCAACATCTTATGTGTGCATCTTAGTATAGTACGTTTGTTACAATGAAAGAACCAATATTGAGACAATATTATTCACTAACGTCCATAGTTTATTCAGAATTCATTAGTTTTTGACTAATGTCTTTTTTCTGTTCTAGAATCCCATCCAGGATACCACATTACATGTAGTGGTCATGTTTCCTTAGGCTTCTCTTGGCTGTGATAGTTTCTCAGACTTTCCTTGTCTTTGATGACCTTGACAGTTTGAGGAGTCCTGGGCAAGTATTTTGTAGAATGTCCCTCAGTTGTAGTTTACTTAATGTTTTTCACATGATTAAATGAGTTATGAATTTTGGGGAGGAAGTTCACAAAGATAAACTGACATTCTTATTACATCATTTCAAGGGTACCTGTAATCAGCATGACTTATCACCGTTTATGTTAACCTTGATCACTTGGCTACACTAGTTTTTGTCTGGTTTCTTCACTGTAAAGTTACTCCCCTCTCCCCCATCTCCCAGTTCTATACTGTACTCTCTAGAAGTAAGTCACTGTGTATAGCCTACACTTAAAGGATGGGGAGTTATGGTCCACCTTCTTGAGGGGATAGTATCTACCTAAATTATTTGACATTCTTCTATACAAGAAATTTGTCTTTTCTCCCCTCTTTATTTATTCAAACATTTCTGTGTGTCAGCATGTACTCATGGATATATATTTTGTACTTCAGCTCATTTTGGTACTTTGGTTTGTAATTTGGTTTATCTTGCATTTTGGCCTATTTATTTTTTACTGAAATTGTTCCAGTTTTAGTTATGGGAGCTCCTTCAATTGGTTCTTGACATACAACCCCCCCCCATCAGTGTGTGTGTGTGTGTGTGTGTGTGTGTGTGTGTGTGTGTGTGTGTG